TAATTATTATGGGGCATGCTTTGAATAAACATTAATGATAATTGATGATTGTTATTTCGTTTTTTATTATTTACTTAATTAATTACTTGATATTATTATTATTGTTATTAATTATTTCTATAAATAATTGATTGTCATTATTTACTTAATTCAGTAATTTTCAGCAAATAATTGTTTAATTTAATTTGAATTATTTCATTTTTTAATTATTTATAATAGACATCTAGGGTAGTTTATTTATTTGATTTAAGAGACGTACCATGTTTTATCTAGACAATGATCCCATATTAATTAAGGGACAACTACAATATCATTTAATTTGAAAGCATCTTTCGAAAACATATCGATCCAAGTGCATAAGCTCCACATTTTTACTCTTTCTTATTGTTGGTATAAATTGACTTGTATTCTTAGTTTATAACTTGTCGACCCTTCCCCTCAATCTGGAGCATATATATCATAAAACTACAGCTTGTTACAAATATAATCTATCCTAGCTCGAGTCAAATTCTTGGTGAATGGATCAGCTAGTTGGTCTTCAGACTTCACATATGGCATAACAATGTCACCAATTCTCACTTTCTCCCTCACGAAGTGACAGCCAACATCTATATGCTTGGTTGTCTAATGAAAGATTGGATTAGAAGCAATGAGTGGCAGCTTGGTTATCACAAAACAACGTAATAGGTTTGCTTGCTGACATGCCTATCTCCTACAGGAGATGTTTCAACTAAATTAATTCACAAGCTATATGTGCCATTGTTCTGCATTTTGCTTCAGCTCTGCTTCTAGCTACCACACCCTGTTTCTTACTTTTCGAAGTGATGAGGTTCCCACATAAGGTATAGTAACTTGTGGAACAAGTAATAGTATGATAGGTTAATTTCCCAACACACCACCTATACCTCCCAAGGTCATCTAATGACTCCCCTTGGGTGTCGGTCATCTTCAAATTAGGATCAATGGGAATTTTAACTGTCTCCTGTTTCATCTAGTAAGTCTAGCACATACTTTTGCTGAGACATTGAGTATGTAGACCCCTGGATGCATTAAGATTTAAATGGTGTAAAATTACAATTTTATCCCTGTCTACATAAAGAGAAGAATAAGAAACTAAATAAAGGCCAAAAGGCCCCATGAAAATATGTAGATATTGAAAGAAGGGTTTAAGATTTTGAGTATTGCAAAATCTTGGAGACATGGAATAGATGCACTATGGAGCACTCTTGATAGGGGACACATCAAACTGATCATCTAATGTATATCTTTAGAGATGCTGAAGACCACATTGGAACAACATGATCGGAACGATGATGAAGGGAGCTGTGGTGAGGGGGGAAGGTTTGGTAGAGGAAAAGCTGGAGTTTCTCAATTGATGTCTGGTTGGAAGATTCGTTGAACTCATATGCAGACATTGTCGATGTTGAAAGTTGGGCTATAAGGGAGTTGCGCAGATTTGACTTTTCTAGAGTAAGGAGGTTAGGTGCTTCTTTGTTCCTTTTTGGTTTGAGGAGGAAGAGGGATTTGGTGAGAGTGATGGAAAGAGAGAACATAGGAGTCATAAGAAATCCTGAGGTAAGATTCAAAAAATGGATGCTG